AGAGAGTAGACGTACGTAGTATAGTAGTAGTAGTAGTAGAGTAGAGAGTAGAGTAGTATAGTGTAGTAGTCGTAGAGTAGAGAGAGAGAGAAGAGAGAGAGAGAGAAGAAGAGAGAGAGAGAGAGAGAGAGAGAGAGACCATGTTTGGAATGCACTACCATCTGAAGCTCGTTTAAGGTGAAGGGCCCTGACCCTTTTTCTGGTTCTTAGCGGGTTCGCCATGAAAGCTACTTTTCCTGCTTTCTCTCTCTTCCTTTTTCTTTCCCCGCCGTCATTTTATAGTGTGAGAAAATTAAGCTTCTGATCGTATTGCCCCCACCCCTGCGCCTAATTCCCAAGATCACCCTTCCTCTGACTCGAGAAAACAGAGGGCCCTCTCCCAAACAAAGGATATTCTCGAAAATGTTAGATGCACATAGAGATACTTCGGTCATTTCAATTAGCTCATATTTGCGGCTTGTTTTAAGCGGGAAACTCTTTTTTATTTGGTTTTATTTTTCTTATTAAATGGCGGTAAGGATTTAAAAAGAGGCGGAAGCCCTCTGTTGTACAATTTTTTACCGCGTGATTCGAAAGGGAAAAAGGGTGAAAAACATGTGGGTCGCAAAATATATGCTCCTCTAATTTACAATATATTTCGGAAAAAGTTTATATAAGGTTGCAACCGTATAATGTAGAGCTACGGATGCTCCTCAAAAATACATCGGAAAATGTAGTTTTAATGTTGAAAAACCTTTCGATTGATCATCTCAACATCGAGATGTATGATCAAAAAAAATAAAAAGATTTTAAGCCTAAAAAATAGTGCATTTTACAACATATTATCTACACCGTCTATTTTCAAGATTGTCATATGTTTATAGATCTACTTGATTTTACCCATTTTTTACATTAAATTTTTTTTAATTAGATATAAAAATAGATTTTGAGATAATCCTAATAACATTTTACATTAAAATTATATACAATGGTAAAATTTGTAGGCGCGCCTTACCTCTACAGCAACGGATGCATCCATAGGCCAACTACACCCATGTTTTGGGTCGAAATCTAAAAGTGGCAAGGAGCCCGGACCCACTAACGTAGGGGTGGGAATGGATAGGGTCCCGGACCCACTAACGTATGGGTGAGAATGGATCAGATCAAGTCGGTTCCATGTCGATCTTAAACCAACTAGTAATAAGTTGTACTCGGATCCAACACACTAGGTCGGATTGGATGGGCTCTATGAATTAAAATATAAAAGTATATAGTATATATTTTATATTATTTACTTAATAATAGGGTGAGATTTGTATAGAGCCTAAACAATCAAATTAAAACCTACCTTCAAATAGTGTCGAGAAATGTGGTTTCAATACTGGAAATCTTTGTGATGCCTTTTAAATATATTTTTATCTTTATTAATAAAGTTTAAAGCTTCAAAAATTGCGTAGATCGACATATCTATGAAAATCTTGAAAATTTATGGTCAAAAAATACGGCACAAAATACACTATTTTCAATACTTGAAATCCATTTTTTTCTCATACCCATGCATATTGTTGTCAAGATGATCAATTTGAGAATATTTGGGCATCAAAACAACCTCTCCTAGTGATATTTTTGAGGTAGGCTCTCGTTTGATTGTTTAGAGCCTCGGCTTTATATAAATTTTTCCCTTGACAATATTAGTATGTATTTATACTAGTATACATTGGGTTGAGTTGAGTTAAGCTCTTGCCTAAACCTAACCTAGCCCAACCCTACAATATCTAAGCAAGATTGGATCCAAACCCAAACCAGGTCAGGTTAAGCTCAAATGGACCCAAAGCCAACCTGTCAAGATCCAATATTTTGTTTAGATCTACACGCAATAGGGTTGTTAGTCGGGTCCATGGATCAACCCGACCCCAATTCCCGAAAGCAAGGATTGAACCTGAAAGCTAGACACCATGTTCATGCCGGACTGAGTCTAGTTTAAGGGTTATGGCCCAACATTGATACATTTTCACTTTTCTTTATAAATTTAGGAAACAAAGAAACTAATACCTATAGCTTGACCTAGCCCAATCGACTACATCAACAGCGCGACCAGCTAGTCTATAATCCGAAGTAAAAGTTGTATTTGGCCAAAAAAACAATCAAAATCAACATTTAATTGGTTTTAACCAGTTGGACCAGCTGGTTTTAACCAATTTGATTAGCTAAATATAGTTAGATAGTTTTTAAATTATATTTTGTTATTTAAAATAAGGAAAGATTTTTATATTGAGCCAAAGCTCTAAACAATCAAATTAAAGCCCACCTCAAAAATTTCATTAGAAGATATTGTTTTGATGCTCAAATATCCTCAAATTGATCATTTCGACATCAAGATACATGGACACGAGAAAAAAATGGATTTCAAGTATTGAAAATAGTGCATTTTGTAACGCATTTTTGGACCGTCAATTTTTAAGATTTTCAATTTTTTACAAAATTGCTTGACGTACATTATTTTTTAAGCTTTAATTTTTATAATTTAAGATGAAAATATACTTTAAAGCTATCCTAAAGATTTACAATACTGAAACCACATTTCTCAATGCTATTTGAGATTTGAAGGTGTGCTTTACTTTATTTGTTTAGAGCCTGGGCTCTATAGACATCAGGTCCAATTGTTGGGCCATTAGTTAGAGTACGGCATACGATCAGGCACCAGCCAGCATTAGCTGGACGGCTGCGATGCGCTGCTTTGGAAGCACGGGCAGCCTTCATCACCACCGTCGGTTAACGTTGATGGCAACACGCAAGTCTCGTGCATGGCATGAGAAGGTGTTGTGCACCTCAATCCCACCACTCCCATCGCGACATCTGGTTCGTTTGGGCGAATATCATAACGACACATGTAGGGGAATGATGCCCGTTACTTAAAACCTTGTTGCTCTGATTGGTTTGTTGATGTCAGCGTGAATAGTTCAGCTGAGCAATACAGGATTGACGCGTGTCTCTGCGACACGGATACAAGTACACTGAAAATTGTTTGGAAGAAAGGAGCATTGCGTTTTAAGGTTCGTACCGCAGGGTGACACAAGCGCATTAAAGAGATGTGATCACTGTTTAATTTTAACAATTGGTTATTTTTTTTTTTTTGTGGTTTTTAGTAGTTGGGTTTTAAAATGTACCCGGCTGCATATTTTAATTGGTTTAAAACATGTATCAGGTGTTGGACCGGATCGATCCAGATTTTCAATATGGGGAGAATGGGGCTAATTCTTTGGCGGGGAAGTGGTCTAAGAAATTACAATAATTTCTAAAATTTAGAAAAATAAAAATGAAAACAATAGGTGGGTACCTAGTCATTATGCCTAGTCTAATTTCCAAGACCGTTCCTAAATTACCGTGCCAAAAAGAGTCGGTTTGAATCAGGCTGACTCCCTCGTATTAAGAAATTCCAATTCAAATTAATGATTTCCTATCAAGATCAATGATTTTTAAATCACTAGACCCTAGTATCATCTAGTTCCAACCAACTTTTGCTTTTTTGGTCGGTTCGGATCAAATCGAGATCCAAACCGGTGGAGCTACTTGCCAATTCAACCTACTGATCCGATTTTCTAACACTCGTCTTGACTCTCTCTTATATTTTGTAGAAAATTACTTTGGAGTATATTTTTCCTGGGTGCGTAGTTGAAGACCTGTTTTGGTGCCGTACAAAATGAATGAAGTTATAAGCCCCCAGATGATGACCTTTTCTCAAATGATAAATCTTTGCTCAATTTCCATCTCTATAAGGCAAGAACAACTAAACTAGTATTTTGCCTCTCGATCTTTGAAAGATTTACCCTTTTTATAAGCTTATGGTTTAGAGATCTTGGTTTCGATAATTTGCTGGAAAATCTTAATGCAAATGATCTTCTTGGTGCTATAATGGTTCTAGCAAATAAACTAAGGGACTTTCCCATTTATTGAGCAATTGTCAAAGTTTGAGTAGTTTGCAGGCTCACAATGATAAATTTTATTGCGAGATTGCAGCGAAAATTTGATATCGCGAGATTTCACCAATTTGGGCAAATAACATAACCAGGTTAGAGATGTTAGAAACAATTTAATCACTGGAAAGATCCTTTTCAGTGTTCCAACCAATTAATTTAAGTGATTTTTAAGGGAGCAACTCTGATTGTGGTCAATCTGCTAATTTTTAGCACCATTACCAGTCTTTTAGGAGGTTCTGCTGTTTTCTCCTTCATTTTATGATCTCTAAAAGGAGCTTTTTTAATACCAATTATCCTTTCGTTGGATCATTTGACAGAGTGCTGGCTTCCATGGAGACCAAATCTCCTTTTACACCATCTCTCTCTCTCTCTC